AAGAGCGTCCAAGCCCCCCGGGAAGGAGGTGCCGTGGCCCTGCTGCAGCTCGGTGCCCTCCCTCCCTGCTGCTTTGGCTGCAGTTGTTGAATTGCGGAGCCACGTTTGGGAAGGGTTCGGAGCTGCAGCCAGGCTGGGGGCCAGCTCGTGATGCTGGGGCTTGGCAGCTCCGTCCCTTCCAGCTCTGCGCTCAGTCCAGAAACTCGCCTGGCATTAGAGAGCGGGGGGAAAGGCTTGGCTGGAAAAATCCAACAGCACCAACCTCCTAGGTGCGGGGGCTGAGTCACTGCAACACCGGGGCGGGGGGCAGGAGGGGTGCCAGCAGATGGGAAGGGGGATGTGGAGGGACGCAGAGGTGTTGGGGGCAGTTTGCATCCATCCGAACCAGACCTCAGTGATCCAGGCTGGATCCACAGAGGGACCCAGGGCTTGTGCAGAGGGTTTAAACAAACCCAAGAACATACGGATGTCCAAACCACGCTGTATGTCTGGACTGAATATTATAAGGAGCAGATCTCCCCCTGCAAGTATGGAGGGAAAAAAATGGGGTGGAAAAGAGAAGAGCCCCAGGAGAGGAGGAGCAGTATTTGCAGTGGGTGGGTAACGGATGTTTGATGGTGTCTACCAAAACATCCATCCCCCCCAACCCTGGGGTCAGGTCCTTAAGGCTGGGCTGGGGTCACTCTCAACCCCCTGCAGCCGCTTGGGCTTCCTGAGGAGAGGTGTCCCAGGGACGGTCCCCAGCCCACGGCCACCTGTCCCCGCTGGAGCCTGGCCGTCTGTGCCGAGGCGGTGACAGTGCGGGCGGGTGGCCTGACCTCCGGCGGGAACGAGGTGTCCTAAAGCCAGCGCCGGGAGGGGACAGCTGATGGGGACGGCGGGGCACGGATGGGTTTGTTTACATTCCCTGCTGCTATAAATTGCCTGTGTGTCCCAGCGCAGCGACGAGGAGCATCTCACACCTCCTCCATGCCCGGTGGGGGAGCACTCCCATTCCCGCTTCCAGCTGGTGAAGGAGGGGAAGAGATGGGATGGGGCAGCGCTGGCATCCCCAGTGCCTTCTTGCAGAAAGGAGCTGGTCCTGCTGTTCTGCAGTCCTCATCATCTCCCCACGAGGCATCTGGGGTCATCCCTTCTTGTCCCAGCCCCAGGCATCCAATGATGGAGGGGACCTGCACAGTGCCGTCCCCAAGGGGACACTGATGGGGCATTTGTGGTGTTGCACAAGGCCACGTGTGGCTGGGAGCCACCGTTGATTTCCCATGTGGGTTTAAGTGGTGCCTGGAGCCAGGCAATTTGGGTGATGGGAAAGCAGCTCCGAGCGGGGTCTGAGCTCCCTTGGACCCCAAGTGACTTCAGGCTCATCTGTTGGAGCCTGACTAATATTTTCTCTTGTTTTCTCTCTCTCTCTCCCTATTGTATCTCGTGACATTTGTCCTGTCTGCCCCTTCCTCTCCCCATGGGGGACTGTGTCTGTCCCCTGTGACCTCCCACCCTCCTTGCACCCCCCGTCCTGGTATGCTGGCAGAGTACAACGCCAAGCTCAGGGACCTCAACAAGAGCACCAAAGTCCCCCGTCCTCCTCTGAACCAGCAACGGTCCTTCTCCTTCTCTGGTTCGTTCATTCCACCTCCCTCCTTCCTTGTCCTCCATCCTTCCCCATCCATTCTTCTCCTTCCATCCCCCTCCTCCCTCCTTCCTTCTCATGCTTCCTTCCTTTTCCCTTCTCTCTCCTCCCTCCTTCCCCCTCATCCCTCCTTCCTCCCCTATCCCTGCATGCTGAGTGCTCCATGTGTTGCATGGATGTGGGATGGAGGGAGGCTCGGGAGACCCTCCCCATGCAGGCTCGATCCCCTTTCTCAGCAGGGTGATGCTCAGGGCCCCCTTGACCTTCTCCAGTGATGGGGGAGCCCCTGGCCCTGGGTACAGACTCCCCTGCCCACACTTGGTTTTGCATCTCATCCAAGCTTGGCACTGCTCTCTGGTGGGGTTTCACTGCTGGGCTGGATCTGGACCCTCACTCCAGCCCCTCTGAGCTTTGCCCTGGCCATGGCTCACCTGTCAGGGAGGCAAGGGCTGGGGTGCAGCTCTGCAGACCCCTGGTTCAGCCAGCTCCTGGCCCAGCAGGGTCTCACTTGCCTCAGTCTGGGCGTTTCTCCCATGGGTCCGTCTGCAGCTGGGGGTTGGGTGAGGGAGGGCCCCCGGCTGTGCTCATTTTGGGGTGAAACATGGACGGCCACATCAATGAAGTGCCCTGGGAGGAGGGGAGCAGTACACTGTGCCCGGTGGGATGAGGCAAGTTGGGCTCTGGCGGAGAGCGGTACAGGGCAATGTCTGCTGCTGTTCCTCACGCAGGCAGGGAGCGAGTTTGCATCTCTCCTTTCCCTGGGCATCGTGCGTCCCTGTGTGGCTTTAACTGCTGGGTGCCGCATCCCAAGGGCCATGGGATGCTGCTTTGCCCTCTCCTGTCCACTGTGGGGGCATCACCTGGCTTTTGCCTGGCAGTAGCTCCAGCATCTTATGCCCAAAAAGCAGCTGCCTCCTGATTTGGCCCAGAAACCAGGCTCCCCAGCTGCAAAACCACCTGGGTTTAAATTCCTCCTGTTTCCTCCTCCCCCTGCTGTTGTGCTCCTGCCCTTCCCCAGCCCTTGAGCTGTGTTTAGTCTGAGGGCAGGACTTTACTGGGAGAGGGTTGCTGCCAGGTTAGGGAGTTAAATGGGCAGCAGAAGGGGTGGCAGTGCCAGAGGTGGTGGGGGCGAGGGTGGGGAGCGGGGTACAGGCTGCTGTTCCCCCTTTGTGATGGGCACCCCTCCTCCTGCAGCCAGGCAGGGCATCCTTGGGGGGCTGGTGGTGGTACCATGGCTGAGGGAGGCTGTATGTCTGCTGAGGGGGTACAGTGAGCGGGGTAAAGGAGAGTTTGTTTTTCAAGTGTAGTTTCCAGCCCATAAATCACCCAGGGGGTCGGGGGAGCCGTGCTCAGAGCCTGGGTTTCCTCCAGGTTTTGCTCTGGGCGGCCCGTGAAGTTTCCCACTCTCGGCTCCCAAACAATGAGTCCCTTTTTTCCCCTCTCCTCCCTCCCCTCCCCGCGGCCCCGGCTGCTTTCCATCTCTAGGGAGCGGAGTAGCCAAAGCCCGGTGAGCTCCTGGGTGTCCTGATGGGCCAGATCCAGCACCCTGCAGCTGGGTGACACGCAGCCTGGGGGATGGAGCAGGGGGTCCCATGCTGTAGCTGTGTGATGTGCACTGACAGCTGGGCTCCGGTGAGCTGCTGTTTGTGCTTCCCAAATGAAAAATGCAAAGTGAGGCAGGCGTGCGCGACTCAAGGAGCCCGGTCTCTGCCTTTCTGCAGCGCTTGGTCGCTGCAGCTCACTTTGGGATGGGCCAAGGGATGCTCCTGGTGATGTTCTTGCAGCATGCAGGACACTCCGGAGTGCACAAAGTGGAGGGGTGAAAATAAAATGTAAGGGTTTGCTTTATTTCCCCCCCCCCATTTTGTTTCTTCCTATGCTCACAACTCAGGGCTTTGTTCCCTTAAAGCGAGGAGCAGGGAAAAAGATATAGGGTGGCTCTATATGATGCTACCCATGGCCACTGCGCCTGCAGGGTGGCTTCCCAGAGACCCTCTCTGTCCCCTCCACGGGCCTTCTTAATGGCTGTCCCCCGCGCCGGCGAGCACCTGCAGAAGGGATCGGGGAGTTGTGTTTCAAAGCCGCTCTTAGTGGAATTTTCCAGGCCGCCTCCGCGGCTCTTGCGTCCCCTGCCTTGCAGCCTGGCCGCCTCTCCCCCCGAGCTGTGATTTTATTGTTGTTGCCATTCACTGGGCTGATTATTTAGAAATGCACCCAGGCCACCTCCCTCCCTCCCGCGCTCCCAGCCCTTTCCCTGGGGCCGGGAAAGCGCCGGTGCGGGTGCCGGAGCGGTGAAGAGGGGAGGTCAGCGGGCGCGAGGCGTGGGTCCCGCACGGAGCCCCGGGGAGGGAGGGGAAGCAGCTGATGGCTGGTTTTCCTCCGCCAGCCCGTGGGAAAGGAGTTGGTGTTTGAAAAGTGCATTTCCTGGAGCGTGATGCTGGCTTTTTTTTTTTTTTTCCTTTTTCTCTTTTTTTTTTTTCCCCCCAATGTGCTGGGCCAAGGGGAGTGTAAGCACTCTCTGGCTCTCTGGGAAAGGCGGAGGGGACAGTGCTGTCACCTCTGCTAGTGGGGCTGAGACCAGGGGTCACCCTGCTGCCGTGTGGGTCCCAGGGAGGAGCAGGAGACCTCTGGGGCTCTGAGCTGTGCCCGTGATGCTCTGTGTGGTTCCCCTTCACCGAACCCAGCGCCATTGTCCCTGAGCCCTAATTAACCTCTTCATCAGGCAAGATGGGGTGGAGAGTGTGTTTGGGCCCTGTTGGGTGCTGGGACAGTTGAGGTCGCACCCCTCATCCCAGCCCCCCAAGCACTCTGCCCTGCGCTGGCTTTGCCCCATTCCTGGGCTTTATCCCAGCATATGGGGATCGCCAATGGGATCTACCAGACCCCGACAGCCCGGAGAAACCCCTTCTCCCGTGGTGACTTGCTCTCTCCCTTCTTCCCTGTGGGGTCTCGGAGGCCCTTGGCGCTGCCCCAGGCTGTGGGCACTGGTGGCTGGTGGTGCTGGGGTCTGGGAAGGAGGTCTGGGGGGAGATGGAGAGGAGATGCCGGTCTCCCCTTTTAGGGGTAGGAGATCAGCAGTGGTTTGTTGGGGTTCCCTGCACCATCCCTCTGTTGGGGTCCTTCTTCCCGACCCGGTGCTCCCTCTGCCTTGGGGACTCACAAAAATGGGCTTTTTCCACTGCTGTGGTTGAAGCTGCATGCGGATGTGGGAGCAGGGATGCAGCCGAACACGGCCACCCCAGTGCTGGGGGATTCGGCCCTTTCCCACCATGACGCTGTCAGGAGGTCCCGGTCCTCACCAGCTCTGTGGGGCGGGGGCAGGCAGCGTCCCCTTCTCCTGGCTGGTGGGGCTGGGCTGGCTCGCTGGCCTGCTCGCAGGATGCTCGTGCCCCTCGCACCCACTGCTGGGGAATGCTGTCCCTGAGCCCAAAACTCGAGGTGCTTGGGAGGGCTAATGCAGTGATCCAGCCACTAGCCACAACCCTGCCTTGCTTTTTTGCTTGGCCCGGGGCCACCGCTGTAGGGTATAGCTGCTCCAGCTCAAGACTCACCGTGCTGGTCTGGGGCTTAGATGCAGGTGAGTGCTGAAGCTGCCACCTCTGCCGGGCAGAGCCCACTTCACAACACACGGCTCTGGGGAGACCTCTCGGATCAGCCCCGGAGCATCTCCTGCTGGTCCCCATCTTAGCTGGCACCTCCTCACCCATCTCCCACCCTGTGCCTGCCCCGCAGGGGTGCAGTCCCGGGAGAAGCCCCCGGAGGAGAGCGCCGTCCCTGCCCGCAAGCGGACCCCTAGCGACAGCCACTATGAGAAGAGCTCACCGGAGCCCAGCTCGCCCCGCAGCCCCACCGTCCTCTCGCCTGAGGTGGTCAGCACCATTGCGGCCAACCCTGGAGGGAGGCCCAAAGAGGTGTGCCGGGGTGGGGAGGGTGCCGGGGGGAGGTGCTCACTGGTGGGGCGCAGCCACCTCCGGGGAGGGAGAAGGCTTGGAGGGGCGTATGGGACTTCTAGCATCCACGGCATCCTGCAGGGTTGGGGGTTAATGATGCTTGTGGTGGTGGTGGTGTCCTGGAGGGTCGTGCCCATCATAAGAGTGGGACTGACCCTTTCTCCTGCTCTCCCCAGCCTCACCTCCACAGCTACAAGGAAGCCTTCGAAGAGATGGAGGGTGCCTCCCCCACCAGCCCACCCTCTGGCGGCGGTGAGATTTCTCCCCCCACCCCAGCCTTCCCCGTCTCGCCACAAACCCCTTACTCCAACCCCTGTAAGTGCTGCGGCTCTGGAAGGCGGAGGGGCTTGGTGGGTGGCTCTCGGCAAGCCAGAAGTTTGCCAAGGGTCAGACAGCTCCGGGCTCCAGACACCCACCACCACGTTAATCGCTCCTTCTCTCCATCCTCCTCTCTCCTCCGCATCCCACCACTCCATGTTGCCATCAGCATCCCACCGCCATCAGCATCCCATGCTCAGCACCCTCCTGTTGGCTTTTGCCCACCCTCCACTCACTGGGGCATTTCTTGGATAGGATCCCAAGGTGGGATAAGGAGAGAGGCAGGTTCCAAAAGACAGCATCCTTTCACCCCATCCCAGTGCTGTACCTCCCTATCTTTCCTACTGGCATGGCAAGAAGGGCAGCGAGGCTGCGGTAGCAGGCGAGCCAGGGGGAGGCAGGAGGGACTGAAGACCGGGAGGGGGCTCGGGGCAGACCCTCACACGCTGTGCCACTTCTCGCTCGCTGTTTCCAGGGCAGGAGGGTGAAAAGGCTGGGAGATGCCAGCCCTTTGCATGCAGCTTGTCTCCTCTCCTCTGGCGTGGCATGCCTCCTTTCTGACTAACCCTGACTGCGCAGTCGCGGTGGGTTTGTGTGGACCGGGTTTGTGTGACTGGCTCGAGTGACTAACCCCGATGAGCAGCCTCACGTCGGCACAGCACGACTCGGGCTGGACCAGTGCAACGGAGCAGCC